TGTCCACATGTGTGTTTCGTCATTTCAAGACCAAGCAGCCCTGGCCTCAGCCTCTGCAACCTAAAGGCCCAGAGAAGGAAGGAAGTTGGGCCTTTTTAGGTACGATCTTCCTTAGGCAGCTCATTGGGTGTCCGCGACCGTGATACCCCCCTTCCAGGCTCAGAGGAGAAACAAGAACACTTCACTCATCCCGCCCGTGTCCAGTTAACAGGCTTGCCGTGCGTTAGGGAGGCCAGGCATAGGGGAGATGTGGCCCCCAAGGAGGGAGACAGACGTGGGGAGTACCCCCGCCAGACACACCGCAGTCCCCGGCTGTGCCCGGCGGCCTCCTTACCCACACACAGGCCGAGGGTGCTACTCCGGGCGGCAGAGTGGGACCTCACCTGCAGCCAGAGAGGGGAGACGGTGACTCCTTTTATCCCCTCCCGCAGAACATGGCTCTTTATGCTGACGTCAGTGGGAAACAGTTTCCTGTTACCCGGGGCCAGGACGTGGGCCGATACCAGGTAAGGGATGCTGTGGTGGTCACTTTCGTGGGAGGCCACCCGTTCACGGGTGTGGCTTGAAGGCCGGGCCAGCAGGGCTGGGGTTCATGAACTCAATGCGCTGGCCGTGGCGCCATGTGCACTGCCCACCCCCTGCCGAACACACCCCACCCAGGTGTCCTGGAGCCTAGACCACAAGAGCGCCCACGCAGGCACCTACGAGGTCAGATTCTTTGACGAGGAGTCCTACAGCCTCCTGAGGAAGGTGAGTGTCCCCGAAGGCCACCCAGGCCTGCAGTAGCGGGGGAACAGCCCACTGCCCCAGCTGGCTCCACCCTGAGGTCCCCTCTCTGACTTGGAGCAGGATGGCTGGTGGGCACCTTCCTGCTCACCCGCCCCACTTGGCCCTGTGCCTTCCGTGTCACTCCTTCGCCCGCGTTTCTCCTTCCACGACACTGGCCGGTGTTCCTGCCTCTCCCACCCCACCCAGCATCGCCCCCTGACCCCAGCACCTCCCTCACAGGCTCAGAGAAATAACGAGGACATTTCCATCATCCCACCTCTGTTCACAGTCAGCGTGGACCATCGGGTGAGTGGCCAGAAGGGGCTGGCCTGGCACAGGGGAAGGAGGGAGCCGGTGGCAAGCCTCGCCTTTTAGTGAGAGCTGGGGGCTGAGCCAAGTGGACCAGTGTGTCTTCGCACCCCAGGAGGAGGGTGGCTGGAGCGGCTGGCCTTCTCACCCGTCCCTCCCCCGAGAATGACTTTGGTCTCCTTTCTTGCAGGGCACCTGGAATGGGCCCTGGGTCTCCACCGAGGTACTGGCCGCTGCCATCGGCCTAGTGATCTACTACCTGGCCTTCAGCGCCAAGAGCCACATCCAGGCCTGAGGGTGATGCCCCCCCCGCCCCCCCTGCTTCTTTCAATAAACAGTTACCAGTTATCCCAAGCACCAGGGCTGTGTCACACACACGGGCAGAGCTGGGTGACGGGCATCCCTCCGCCTGCCTAGACGGCACAGGCACCGAGTCGGGGCAGGTCTGGAGGTCCCCTTCCTCCTTGTGTACGTTTGCTTTACTATTGGCCATTGTTAGCGCTCCCTTCTCAGCCCCCTAATACCCAGTGCCCACCGTCTCCCAGGGCTGCCTGCCTGGTTCCAGGCAGGGCATGGGGCTGTCTCTCCCCTCCGCCCGCCGATCTCCGGCAAAGAGTGGCCTTGTTCTCCTGCCTGGGCCCGCTTAGGGAAGGACCCTCTGACCACCTGCCATTTTGAGGGCAACTGCCCAGGGCAGGTGGCGTGGAGAGCTTCCCCGAAACCCAGCAGTCCGCAGTGCACGTAGCCCCGGCCCCTCCTGGCCTCCGGAAGGGCCCTGGACAGGAACCACACACTGGAGTACTTCCTGTGCTTTTCCTGGGGGGCGCTGCAGGCGTCCCTGTGGCGCTTATGCTAGTACTCCAGGTAGCTGTCCAGGGGGCTGGTCCTTCCAAGCTCTCCGCTCCAGCGTGGCGCCTCCCAGGATGCTCTCACCTCTGGTGTCGGGTGCGGCACGGAGAAAGGCACAAGAGAGGACCCGGACCCCCAAGCCTCCAAGGAGCCCATCGTTAGCCCTTTCCAGTTCGGCTGTGTACCTTCCCTCCAGCGAACCCGCTCTCTGAGCACCTGATGTTCTCGAGACACCGGGCGGGCATCCCTGTGCAGGCTCCACGCTCCACGTCAACCCGCAGCCCTCCCACCAGCCCAGTGTCCCTGCTACCACCCAGTGACTGGAGAGGTGGGGATCCCTAGGGTTCAAAGGGGCTGTGACCTGGCTTCCTCCAGGCTGTTGGTGAGGGGACATTGGGATCAGCGTCCAGGGAGACTGCACCCCAAAGGAGGCCCAGAGCCTACGGGGGTGGGCGGGGCTCTCCTCTGGGCCTTGTCCTCCGCGGGAGTGTAGAGGGACCTGCCTGGGGACCTTCTCCAGGCTAGGGGACGCCAGCTGTTCCCTGCCCCACACCCTCAGTCCAAGCGAAGCGGGTCAGCATGGGTGGCTGGCAGGAATAGGGAGGCTCTGGGGAAGAGCCCTGTCCTCGCTCCCAAAACAGGCACAACAGGAACCACGGGGCCCCTGAAGACCAGGCCAGGCGAGAGCTGCTGGCTGAGGCGCTTTCTGCATCCCAGACAGGGCTGGTGGGAGCTCGGGTGGCGCCTGCTGGCTGAGCACCACTCCTCCTTTTAAGGGGGAAAGTGGCAGCTGTTGGCCACCCAGCGGCTCTTTTTGATCCCAGCTCCACCACTCGGCCCAGTTAAGTCTCTGGTCCAGTGCGCCAGTTGCCAAGGGCTTCCAGATCTCCTGGTGTCAACACTTCCCAGAGCCAGTGAGAGCCAAGCCCCAGCACCAGCTTTCACATAGCCGAGGGACCCTAGGATCCGGGCCTGTCCTGGCCCCCACCCCAGGAGCACTGGGCCTCTGGCACCCCACCCCAGAGCAAAAGTGAGGTGCCTCTAGAGCCATCAAAGTGAGCCCCCAGCAGCCAGAGAGGGATGCTCAGGGAACAGGTGACCTTAGTCTCCAACTCCAGCCAGTTTTCTGCGATGGGCTGGGTCCTTGGAACCCCATCCTTCACAGGGGCCTATATGGAGTGTCCCCTCCCGAGGAACGGGGCCGGTCACGAGTTGATGTTCCTAGCCCCCAGCTCCAGAGGCCTCTGAGGGGTAAGAGGAAGGTGGTGTCTCGTGTTTGCCCCTTTTCATCAACAAGCCCTTTCCTCCCTCGAAGCCACTGGTGTTCTGTGTGACATGCTGGGTCTTCCCTCCCAGCTGTTCAGACAGCAGGGCACTCCGCTTCTGGGAACACAGGCTCAGGTTTCTTGCTCACGCCAATCTCAGCAAATTAGTAAAATTAACAAGAGGTCTACATTGCTCTTTCAAGAGAATTTTTAAATGTATCCTCACCCACTTAATGTGCTGGCAGCATCCTGTGTCTTCAGGAGACAGCGCCTACTCAAGGGCTCACCACACAGACGGTGCCCCTGGAGTTGCTGTCTTTGGGGCCTTGGCCCCAGCCAGGACTTAGCAGGGTTCCTGACACTGAGCAGATGCCCAGTGGTTTGCTGTGCTGAATGGAACCTCTGGGAGTTCCCGCAGCCACCTGGTACTCATCTGGTCAAAGGACACTTCTTTGCATCTTCTGAGGGCTAGGCACCGTGGGGTCCCCAAACAGGGAAGGAAGCTTGTGCCTTCCAGAAGCCTGTTGGCCCTCGCCCCCGCTAGGGCGCTCCCTGAGCTGCAGGGCAGTGAGAAGGTGGAACCACTTCTCTACGACTCTGACCAGAGCAGGGGTGTTGGCCTCATGCACATGCCAGCTCTGCCATCCTTCCTGCGCCTGGGCACCACCCTTGTGACCGTGGCAGACCTCTGAGATGCGTCTGTTGGCTCTGTCCCTCCTCCCAGAGTGCTGGAGGCCGACTTCAGAGCACCTTGCTGTTGCCCAGCTTTCCCCTGCCCCGCCCGGCCCCACGCCAGACCCTGGTGCTGGAGAATGAAGGAGAATGAACACGAGGAGGCCAGGAGTCACCCTCGAAGGCAGCTTGCTTTATTCTCACGGTGCCGGCAGGGGGCGGGGGTGAGCAGCCTGTCAGCCTTCCATCTGAGGCTCTCTGAGCCAGGAAGGGCCCGCAGGCCAGCTCTCACTAATGCACAGGTCCCTGAGGGCTGCCTGGCCCACACTGGCAAAGTGGGGTGCAGGGCATCTTCTCCCCAGTCAGCCCACCTGGCAGGGCCCGCCTGTCACTCAGCTCCAGGCCGCTCCCTAGCTCTGCGTGGGTCGTGTCACCGAGGTCTGCTGCTACTCATGGGACTTGGCTTCTCGACCCCTCACACCACTCAGGAGAGAAGCCGAGCTCCAGAAGGCGTCTGGCACAGCCCTGGGCTCGCTTCCTTCTTCTTGGACGGACACTGACCCTTCAGTCCCCGTAGTCGCCGGGGACGGAGGTGACCTCCAAGGTGAGCCTGGCAAGCCACATCGGAAGCTCCCAGTCGCCACACCTCAGAGCGGAGGTCACCTGCAAAGCTGCTTCCCATTCTTGCCTTCATTCCCCCACCTCCCCTCCCCCATCCCCCTCCCTTGCTTCCCCCCACCCCCCTCCTTCCCAGCTATCACTCGGGGATTCCACCTCTCAGGCTGCCTGAAGGAGCTGCCAGCCCTCAGAGCAGGTCCACGAAACAAA